TACTGTATTCACTGCCATGCACTTACAGTCTTTGAAGAAGCAAAAAAAAATAATAATTCTGTTAAATCTCAACTCTTAAATACATGTCATCTTTCTCACATCACTGACAAAATGGAAGATGCATAATCTAATTATATCACACATAGCATTTGATAGTTGTCTCAAAGAAAAGTGTGTATAAGATTAAACTGTGAGTTGAACAACCCACTTTTTTTCATGGAATATCACGAGAGATAAACTAGAGTTCAGCCTTGGGTATTTGACGAGGTTTCCCCAAAAATGACTGAAGTAAACTTAACACTTTAAGGAAAACAAAGTATCTGTTGCCAATTGATAAAATAAAGGTTTCAAGCAAAAATTAGAATTTTTGAAGACTTGTATCTGCCACTGTGAGCTTGACAAATTGACTCTTTTATATAATGAACTATGTCAACATTTGAAAGATCTGCACAACTCAGTGAACCAATATTTTCCAAATGACTAATGCATGATATGACAAAATTATGCATGGGTAAAAGATACATTCAAAGTGAAAGATAGATTAACAGATTTCAATGTAACAATTAGTCAGAAGTTCATTGCTAACAGTTTTGGATTCCACATTGCCACACTAAAACCTTTAAAAAACTAAACTGTGAAATTTTGGTGTAGTATCAAAAAAGGAAATCTATAATTATCCGAACTTAAGTTTCTGGAGGACCATTAACCTTCTCCAGGCTCAGGGAGAAGGCAATAGCACTTCTCTTTCCCTAAGATCCTCCAGGAAGGAAGAAGGAGTTATAGGGGGAGAAGAAAAGATAATCCTTGGGGGAGGGGTAGAAGACCTATTGTGTGATGATTACCAAGTATGTAACAATGGTTTATATACCTCTAATATATATAATCCACACAAACCCCTAAAATGGCACTAATAAGGGAATAGAAGTTAAGTCAGCTAGCCACTGTCACACAGCTGTTAGAGCACTGGAGCTAGGATTTGAACCCAGATTTGTCTGTATATAAAGCTGATTCTCTCCATAATAGTACTGAGACACAAGAGGCGGCTTCAAAATATTCTGGTACTCCTTCCTAGACCAGAGTTTCAAGGTTCGCTATCATCTGTAGCATGATACTGTATCCTCACAGTGCCTGGCTTTCATTCAGGTGCCAGGAAGTGTCTGCCTGCATATGCTTCTTAAATTGTGTGATTAACTCATAATCCATCCATGACTGTTTCACCCATAATCATCCTTGTATCAGTTGCTTTTCTTGCAAGAAAATTAGAAATATTTGGCTTTGTGGATGGTTTTCTTTCTCTGAACTCTAACATAGACTCAGTCTCAGGGATTACTCAGTTTCTACCACATATTGCCATTCTGACCAGGAACCACCAGCATTCAGGTATTTACCTGGAACAAGGCATTTTGTTCTGAGGGTTCTTCACTTAAAAGCAAGCACCCTAGCATAATGGGACTTCTTAACGTTCTCAGAATGTTTGGCACAGCTGTAAACACACATTGAGCAATCAATAACTATTACAAGCCGGGCGCGGTGGCTCAAGCCTGTAATCCCAGCACTTTGGGAGGCCGAGGCGGGTGGATCACGAGGTCAAGAGATCAAGACCATCCTGGTAAACATGGTGAAACCCCGTCTCTACTAAAAATACAAAAAATTAGCTGGGCATGGTCGCACGTGCCTGTAATCCCAGCTACTTAGGAGGCTGAGGCAGGAGAATTGCCTGAACCCTGAAGGCGGAGGTTGCGGTGAGCCCAGATCGCGCCGTTGCACTCCAGCCTGGGTAACAAGAGCGAAACTCCGTCTCAAAAAAAAACTATTACAGATAATGATGCCGTTAAGACCAGGACATTATAGCTTTTCCATTCAAAGGGGGTAAAATATGCACTCTAACTGTGGTATACTTTTGGTTCTTTCAGCCATGTATCCTTAATTAAAGATGTCAATTCCATGTGGTTTTCTCTTGAGTTCTAACCATTTTGTTGTACCCTAGCCCTTGCAACTGAACGCCATTTAGCATTCATCCATTTTCTCCAATGGTGTTCATTATAGACTATCTTACTCCTCTTATTTCTGTGACAAAAATTGATTTTTTCCACTGATGTCTATGGTACATCTGGCAGCTTTCCATGTACTCAATTCCTATCTGATGTAGCCCAGAATGACTGCCTGAAGGGATGCCAAAAGCCTGATTTAGGTTCCAGATTTTTAGCTACTGTACTATCAGTCCATTAGTTCATTTCATTTTTATTTTCCCTTGTCATCTGTAGCATACAGTTGAGTGGCTTAAACATGTTTTGCATATATTCTAAGTTCTAAGAATTTGGGAGTACTGTCCTAGGATTTAGACTTAATATTGCCTTCCATTTATATAATGCTTCCTCATAAAATCTTCAGTGTTCCTGAAAAAGAAAAAGGAACATGTATTGAGTGCCTGCTAGAAGCAGGAACTTGTATTAGATTTTCTGTGTGTTATCACAACACACATACAATACACAGGTGATATCCCTCCCAGTTTACTGATGAGGAAACTCAGGGGTCAAAGTAGTAGATACCTACCCGAGGTAACAGAAGCGGTGAAGTGGTACAGCTGGGATCTAAAACATGTCAGTTTAACCATAGGTAGGCTCCCTGATCATCCATCGGCCACTGCCTGGATGGCTGCATCCAGGGGTGATGACATCATTTTCACAGGGGTATTGAGAGCTAAAACTACGAGGTACCCAAAGTATTATTTAAAATATAAATACATAGTATATATGCGTGTGTGTATACATGGTTGGGGAAACATTACAGAATACTTTTCTAACCTTTAAATAATGTACTCATTTTCTGTAAACTAATGTACAAGCAATTGGTTGGTCCCTAAAAATAGATGTCAGGTGACAGAGACTGGCTAAGCAGGGAATAGGAGCATCTCCAGAATAGAAGCCAGGGAACGTTTTACTTCCCGAACACATTGTTGCACAGTTCACTGTTCCAGGACCTTCCTACATCGCTGTAAAACTCTGGCCCAGAGCAGCTCCTCTACATTAGTCACAAGTTTCCATTGATCAGGAGTGGCATGTGCCAGACCTACAGCAGAGTCTTTTCAGGTTATTGTCTTCTGTTACAGGCCTTCAATATGTAGTCAGTCCACTCGCCCAAATCTAGCAGGGAATCAGTGCCTTGCAACACGGAAACATCTAGAAATTCTTCTTAACCATGTTCAGAGGACAATGTGAAACCCTGGGCCTTTTCCCAGAATTAGGGTGGTAGGAATGCTGTCCTGTTGACTAAGCCTGTTAGGTAAACAGACAGTTGGCAAGGTTCCAGAAGCTTCATTTGAGGATAGAATTTAGGGGGAGCGTTTGGATTTACTGGCTTAATTAGTTAAGGTAACATTTATAAAAGAAATTGTCATTCTACAATTATTATCTTTTAACTTTTATTCCTAAACAGAAGAACAGCAATAAAATGTTACTTAATAAATACAATTTCTAACCAGATTGATAACTAGAAAAAAATTTTAAGTTACTTTGCTCTGTGAATTAGTTTAAACATATTTGTAATTGAAATTTACTACTGTTATTGGCTGAAATCAATAAAAGCATAGATAATAAAAGATGACATAGAGACAACTAACATCCAATTTAAGTTTATTTCTAAGTGCCATCTTCTTTAGAGAAAAGGCAAATTCAGAAAAGTTTGGAGAGGTACTGTTATGTTTCTGAACTTGTATAGGTGATAAACAAAACAGACTTTAGTATGAAAGAATTCCAGAATCAGCAGGTTGCCAGCATCCATGTTTTTGAAGATTTGCTTAAGAACATGACTAAAAATGGAATGGGCAGTCTCTAGTTATAAGCAGAAGGCTAGAAAATCATTTTGGCTGCATAATACAGTTTTGGTTCTAAAGTCAGCATGTAAAAGGAAAATTCCTTAGGAGGATACAACATTGAAAATCATTATGTCATTTAATGTGAAATGCAATAATTAATTTTTTCTCCTGTAATAAAAAGATCACTGTTTCATTGGTTTATAAAAATACATCTTTATCAGCAAATGTGGCAAAATGTTAAGAATCGGTGAATATTAGTAAAAGATATATATCCATTGTAGTAGTATTTCAACTTTTGAGATTAAAAATTTTTTAAACAACAAATTATCTTTTAAATATCTAGTGATCACTAGACCTGCACTCTTTGTGGTGAGAAAGTGAAAAATGTTAGAGACCTAGTAAGAGAAGCAGATTCACGTTTCTGTCTTTTTCTTCAGGCCAAATAGTCTTAGATTGGAGTGTACAGAATGGTACTCACTGTTGAAAGCCTAGTGCTTTATCCAATCTTACTGCAAGCCAGACAGGAAGGTTATAGAAAATAATGTTTCTGAATCGGCATTTTCTGAGTCATATGAAATTGTAGTTTCAGCCAAGATGACATTAGGAATGACAGATATGGGACCAAATTTTAACATTGTAAAAAATGTTTGACTCTAATAGGAAACATAGGTAGAATTGTAATGATACTTGATTGAATTTTAAAAGATGCCTGTATAAGATCTTAAAATTAGGAAAAAAAAAATATGTCCTAACCAATTAAAGGTGTAGGAGGCATCTTTTTGGGATGAGGGAAATATCCTCTCTCCTGATTGTGATAGTAGTTACATAAATATTCATTGACAAAAACCATAAATTACAGACTTAGAAGACAGTAAATGTTATTGTGTGTGACACCTTAATAAAGGTGATTATAAAAATAAATCCTAAGCATCTAAAAAAAAAAGAAGTGAAGCAAAACCACACCATTCTATTTTGGAGATACTTCAAAAGAAATGACCTCATTTTTTATTTAAAAGAAGAATGTAACATTATTTTAATGTATTTAGATAGGATATTTTAGTGCCTACTACTACTTGAAGCCAGAGTTCAGTGTAAGCATTCTGACTATGAAGTGAAAAGCTAAGGTACCTGTATTTTGATATTCCTTTGACAATAATATCATAACACTGTTCTTCTCCTCCTTTAGCCCCAGCATGAGACCAGATGTAAGCTCTCCTCCATCTAGCTCCTCAACAGCAACAACGGGACCACCTCCCAAACTCTGCCTGGTGTGCTCTGATGAAGCTTCAGGATGCCATTATGGAGTCTTAACTTGTGGAAGCTGTAAAGTTTTCTTCAAAAGAGCAGTGGAAGGTAGTGTGTGTTTTGAAGAGTTTTATTGTTCCTCTTCTTGGTTACCATTTCTCAAGTGGGATTTTGAAATTTCCATTATATGCAAAGCCCATGAAGGCTAAATAACAGTTCAGAGGGGAGAGGAAGATGGCTTCTAGGTCCTCTGATGGGCAGGAAGTTATTTCAAACAACAACGCAAAAAGATGTAGAATAAAATAGAAAAGTATAAGTCGATACCTGGGAGTTTGGCCAGGGAGCATAAGGTAACACTGTAAGAAAGTGCTATCATATGAAATGATGGTGTTAAGTTTGGGCATACCATAAAGTTCATGTACTAAAATTGTAGGCTTTAACTTCCTATAAAACTAATAGGTTTTAAAGTCACCACCTGTACTGGTCTGGCAAAAATGAGTGACAGTGAGAACTGTGATAGGAAAAAAACACATTCATTTCTCATTCATTTTTTTTTTTTTCTGTTAAGTCAGGGCACTGTGCTAACTGGAATAAATACCTTTAAGACCTGATCCTTGCCCTCTAGGAAGTCACAGTCCACTGAAGTGAAAGATGTGTTAACAGTGACAAGGTACAGAGATTATAATATGGAGAGGGAGAGAGAAACTCGGCATGAGGAGGTCAGGAAAGGTATTTTAGAGAAGGCGATTTCACTATATAGATGTTGCAATAATACAAATCTTACTTTGTTATAGATTCCGACTGCTGACAGGGCAACAGCATTATCTCCTAAAGAAGAAGAAATTCATTCCATAGCAAACTTACTAGAAGGGAGTCTGAAATTTCCTAATATTACCAGTGACTCCTCTTGGAAAAAGTAGTCATATAATTTAGTTATTTCTAAAGCAGTTTGAAAGCAGTGTGGCCTAAAGCTCTGATTATATTAATTTTTGTAGTATGGTTTGAAGTCTGGTAGTGTGATGCGTCCTGCTTTGTATTACTTTTTAAAGGAACATAATTATTCATTCACTGTATGAGGATTATTATTTGTCTCATGTGTGTTTGCATATCCATGAGAGTTAGATGAGTTAGCAAATTATGAAATTACTCCTTTTACGTCACAAAGATTACAAGGATGCCAGCTTGGCCAGTGTAGTAGTCCCACCTGTTGATTAGAGTCAAAAGTAAAGCCCAGCCCTACTTAGTGCAATGCACCTAATAAAGTGGATGTTATTTAACACATACGCAAAAGATGGAACCCTCTCCATGTCATCACTTTACCTTATTCCTCGTTTTCTTAACTGCTTAAGTATTTCCATGATATAAATGCAGTGATAATAGTAATATGGACAGTCCTGACTTAACAACTTTTCAACTTTTATGATGGTGGGAAAGAGATATGCATTCAGTATGCTCCTTGACTTAACAATGGGGTTGCCTCCAGATAAACTGATTGTGAATTGAAATCATCTTAAATCAAAAAATGAACTATTGACTTATAATGGGTTTATAAACAATTAAACAGTTAAAGATACATCTTAAAGAGCATCTATGCTGTATATAATAAATATTGACACACTGATTTTTGAAGGTGAAATTCACAATGAAACCTTTAAAAATATGCTATTAAAAGTGTTTACTTTCCTCCATTTGAACTAAAATTGTTCTTTAAAATGGTACAAATTCAAATGCTTATGGAGACCAACTATGTGTCATTTTGGCTAAATATAATACAGTTGTAGGGAGGAGTGCACACGTGCCCTACCTAAAAGCATCCAAGTGCAATCAGAACAAAAAACAAAGTCACCTCCCTTATGGAAGACCAGTGCAGGCCATATGCCCTCTGTGCTTAATCCCTGCTTTTAAATTCCTAGACTTGTTTTCAGGTAAAATTTAATTGAATATTAGCCATACTATTAAAATGTTTGTTATTTAAGTATTTCAGTAGTATGATGGTGAGATTACATGATTAATAGGAAAGGCTAAAATGTAGAATATGTTAAGTAAGTCTTTGCTCTGTTTCCTCCTTTATTTGGATTTTAATGTTCTCAAAGGCCCTTTACACCTCTAAAATTCTGCAGTCCTTTGATAACCTAACTCAGCAGTTCTTCTGTTTTTTCTATCAAGACACAATAGAAATATGCTTCAAAGCCCAGATACATATTTTGGAGCACTTTCTTAAACAATTATGAAGATGCAACTTGCATTATTTATATCATACACTTAGCACTCCATTCTTAATACCTGGTAGAATTTTAGGTTATCCCCCAGACTTGGCTTAGTATAATATGGTTATTAGGAAGTTGTTGCACTTTATTCAGAGCTTTGCACTAGGCAGGAGTGGGCTTTACTTTCGACTCTAATCAATAGGTGGGACTACAACACTAGCCAAAGCTGGCATCCTTGTGATCTCTGTGGAGTAACATGAGTAATGTTATAATTTACATCCCCCATAACAAGTGATCCAAGAGAGTATGTGACCAATGCAGAAGAACCATTGTCTGTTCTTATGTTATTTCACCTGTAACATGCCATCACTTCTGCCATATTTGATTGGCCACACAGACCAATCGTGGTAAAGGATGGAAAGGGACTACAGAAGAGCATGCATACAAGGAGGCAGAATCACTGAGAGCCATCTTGGAGGCTGACTCCCACACCTACCATAAATAGAAAACCAGAATTACTTGCCAATAATAGATTTTAACCACAAAATGAATACCATGTAAACAAAACAATGTCACAAAATTTTAGCTGACTTGAACTCTCTTCATCTTTCTATTAGTAAGAAAGACAATTTACGAAGTAGTAGAAGACATAGGAACTCCAAAATAAGATACCTTAATAACTTTTCAGAAGGGTTGACAGGGAGATGGGCTGGGCACAGTGGCTCACACCTGTTATTCCAGCAATTTGGGAGGCCAAGAAGGGAGGATTCCTTGAGGCCTAGAGTTTGAAACCAGCCTGAGCAATATAACATTGTCTCTACAGGAAAAAAAAAATTATCCAGGCCTGGTGGCCCATGCCTGTAGTCCCAGCTACTTGGGAAGCTAAAGCAGGAGATTCAGGAGGCAAGAAGCTACTATGCACCACTGTACTCCAGCCTAGGCAACAGAACAAGACCCTGTCTAAAAATAAATAAATGAGTCAAGGAATGAATGAATGGATTGACAGGAAATGACTATTAGTTGTACGTGGCCGTGTGTTGCAAAATAGTGAATACTAGTTAAAACTCCTCATTTTATACAGAAGGAAATGGTAGACTTGCCCAACTTCATGCTGATAACCACAAAGGGCTATCTTTAACTGATGAACATACAGTGCCTCTGATCCTATAGCTGAGATTCTTAGCTGTGCGCAAGGCATACCTGGGATAAAGAAATCAATACTGGCATAATATGCACATCCTGACATTTCAGTTGGATATAAACAAAACTGGAATTTTTTTTTTCTATTTTTTCTTCCATTAATTGTAAGACAATGATTTAGAGATACTCTTGTAAGGCATAACTTTTTTGTATTCTAACTGCTTCAACAATGGATGTATCTGTTGATCCTACTTTTGCTTTATAGAAGATAGAATTATTGGGTTAGTGCTTCCATTTTGTGTCCAAGTTAAGGAAGCTAGGAAACTTACAGAGTACTAAGAGAAATTGAAACAGCTGGTAGATAATTGGCATTGGAGAGCAGCTCTGAACAAAGCTAAATTACAGTCCAGTGGTCAATTTTGTGGCCTATTCTTTACAAAGAATTGAACCTGATACAGTTAACCATCTACCCCAAACTATTATTTGTTTAAAACACAATCTATCACACCGTTTAAAACATAATTTATCAAAAAAAAGTGGTTACCCTTTGTGGGTAGTGGGTGGAATTGGGCAGAAAGGAAGCTTGTTTGGAGACTGTTTTGTTTCTTGATCTGAGAGCTGATTACATAAAAGTGCTTGGTTTGTAAAAATTTATTAAGTGGTTCACTTATGATTTGTGTACTTCTATATATGAATACTGCAGTAAGGTATTTTATTGAACTGTTTTCAGTTTGTTGAACAGAAAAAGGGAGACTCCCTTTGTTGTTGACCTCTCAACCTCATAATGGTAATGTAGGCAGGAACACTTCCCTAATCAATACCTATGGGCGCCTTGGTTATATTCCACCAGAAACAGATAGAGGCTCTCCATAAAACAAACAAACAAACAAACAAAAAATCCTTGAAGACCTGTGAAACGTTAATAGTACCTTTAATTCCATATAGGACAGCACAATTATTTGTGTGCTGGAAGGAATGATTGCATCATCGATAAAATTCGAAGAAAAAACTGCCCAGCATGCCGCTACCGAAAATGTCTTCAAGCTGGAATGAACCTGGAAGGTAATGAAAATACATGAAAGCAATTGTTTGTCTCTGTAGCTTATAAAAATTTATCATTTTACTTTTGAAGATACAAGTAAGCAGAGGTAATAATGTAGTCAGTTCAGTATATATATGCTTGACTAGCATAATAATATTGCCCGATAAAAATGGGAAACTTTTTTCATGAATATGCCATATTCTGTTTAAGTTTATCCACCAGTTCTTCTTATACACACTGAATTCGGTACAGCCAGACTATATACAAAGAAAGGAAATTATGTAATAATGAAAACACAACATGCCGCAACTTTATTATTATTCTTTTTTTCAGCCTCAAAACTATCCCTAGGGTTGGAAATGTTTCTGTATCATAATATTTACATGTTCATTTTTCTTTTTGGCATTTTAAAGCATACCTTTTACTTGGAGATCTATGTTGTATTACAGATCTGCAAGAAAAAAAACCCTCAAGGAAGAATTGGATGGGTTTTGTTTTGGTTTTGAAGTAAAGAGGAAACCTGGGCTGGGTGCAGTGGCTCATGCCTGTAATCCCAGCACTTTGGGAGGCCAAGGTGGGTGGATCACAAGGTCAAGAGATCGAGACCATCCTGGCCAACATAGTGAAACCCCATCTCTACTAAAAGTACAAAAATTAGCTGGGCGTGGTGGTGCATGCCTGAAGTCCCAGCTACTTGGGAGGCTGAGGCAGGAGAATCACTTGAACCCAGGAGGCAGAGATTGCAGTGAGCCGAGATTGTGCCATTGCAGCCCAGCCTGGGCGACAAATCGAGGCTCTGTCTTTAAAAGAAAAAAAAAACAACCCTGAAACTAGTCCATGTTTATGTAACAAGTTGTATAATTAACACTGATTCAGCATTAAAAAATTTTCCTTTGAAAAATGTTTGGAATTCTGTTCTGGTTGAAATGGCAAGTTCTGTGAAGGTAGTGTTGATCTAATACCACATATGCTTATTATTTATTGTGACAGTAGCACTTTTATTCAGCAAATATGCACCAAGCAGTCACTAGATATAAAATGAATAAAATAGTCCCTGTATTCCAGTAGTTTGCCCCCTAATTAGGTTGCAGAGTCAGTCACAAAAGAGCATGGCACACCATAGAGGGCATAGGGCCACAGGAACAAGAGGAAGGTCACCTAATTCTGTCTTGGAAGTCAAGGAAGAAGTAACATTGAATTTTAAATCTATAAGCTGAGTAGGAATTAGGTAGATGAAAAACAAGGGCAGAGACATGATCAGATTTGTATTTTGCAGACAAATCTTACATAGACCAATTAAATTAACAGCAGTCCTCCAGATAAGAGATGGCAGTACTGAGAGAGAATGGAGACCATGTGGTGCTTTTTATGATGATGATTATTATTTTAGAGACAAAGTCTCACTCTGTCACTAAGGCTGGAGCACAGTGGCGTGAATGTAGCTCACTGCAGCCTTGAACTCCTGGGCTCAAGTCATCCTCCTACCTGATAGGGCTACAGGTGCACATTACTACACCCAGCTGATTTTTAAAAAATTTTGTTTTAATTTTTTTTGTAGAGACAAAGGGGTCTTGCTATGTTGCCCAGGCTGGTGTCTAACTCTTGGCCTTAGGTGATTTGCCTGTTGCGGCCTCCCAGAGTACTAGGATTACAGGCATGAGCCACTACAGTTGACCTATGTGGTTCTTCTGATATGAAACACTAATTGTTGGTGTTATTGAGCACACACTGTGTACATCTTGTTAAACAGATTATGGATATGACTATGAAGACCCTAGTTCCCCAAACCACACACACAACTCTATCTGCATTTGACCAGGATGTTTAAACTTGGCTGTAGAGTGCCAGCATGTTAAACATTGATTTACATAAAATGATAGCTGCCCACTTTCTTGTAGATGCTGCAAAACCTGCAGAGATTAAAAAATGCACACAGAAGGTTGCTTTCAGTTCCACAAGGGTAGTTTATATAACAAACAGTATTCCCCACTTTCTTAAATGCCAGATCTCTGCCCAGATTTTACCCAGTTTCTTCTTTCTGCTCTCTAATATCCTGTGTATATAATATACTTTGACCATTTAAATATATATTAAGGCACATGAGTTTTTAGTGCCCTTTGGTTTATTTTCTCTGGCCCCAATTATCTCTAATATTCATGTTTTCATCTTAGCAGTTTTATATTTAGAAATGGGTTTTGAATGAAGCTCAAAGGACAAAGCCAAATAAAATTCTGTCGTATCTCTAATATATTGTGGTCGCTTACCCAGTAACATTTTTAAGTGCTTTTCTGAATACATATAAAGTTTAAGATCTTTGGAGCTTTAAGCATATAATGTTTTTCTGGGCAATTTCTCCCTATCCAAACAATAAGGAAATTCTTCCATCAAACGAAAAATGATGTATCAACTACAAAGTAATGATTTTGATGGACTAGGCTGTTAAGTTTGTCCATTTTTTCCTTTACTCTTACTGTTTAATATCAATTGCAGTGCCCTTTGCCCTTCCTGCACTAGAAGATGACCTAAGACGGTGACTGACGTCTGATTTTTCTATTATACCATCACTGCCATTTCCAGTGATGGTATAATTATCTTTCATTGGGCATCAGAAATTTTTCTTACATGAATAAAATTTAAGCTGTGGTTTCTCAAAATATTCTATTAAAAATAACCAATTATATGCTTTTATAAGTTGTCAGTATAACATATCCAGGTAGTGGAAAAAATGGTATTTGTTCAAAACTACTACATGTTAGTCTTTGATATACATTCTTCTACTTTTTGGACCCTCAAATTATTAAAAACACCTTTGAGTAGGGCTATGATTTCCTTTATATCCATTTTTATACTATGTAGTAAAACAAAATTCTAATTTGTTATTTCATACTATGATATGTATCTATGTGACACATATAGTTGATCCAATTCTACTTGCAGATAAATTGAAAGAAAGGCTTAAAACAGTTCTTAGGGTTTGTATGTGTTATTTTACTGTAAAAGTACCATTTTTGTATTGAACTAACCCCAGTATATATAAAACCTTTATTTGGCATGGTATGTGTGAGCACCAGAAATCTTTGGCAGACCCTAATACTTACAATATAGATGAGCCATGTGTTTCACACTTTTTTTTTCAACCTTTACAAATACTCTCTTGTTCGTCAGATTGCTTCCCCTAAGCCAGGCAGTCTCGGTGATAGCCCCAGAGTAACTTTGCCCAAGTCTCTCCATAAATGTAACTTAGGACTGCAAGTGCTGTATTTTGATACTCTTGCCCCATACCAAGTAAATCTCAAGATTTATTTTAAGGGAGTGGACTTCACTGCTTAAAGTGCCTAGCATTTAAGAACAGATAAGTTTTTTAATGGTGCTCCTAAATGTTTTTTTTTTTTTAACTTGCTTTTTTCTTGTTACTAAATATTTTACGTTCATTTCATTTTAAGATATATTATAATCCAAAGTATGGCTTTACTTTTAGCATAAACAGTCAAATGAAACTTAAAGATGGCATTATCAGATTTATTACCAAATATTATTTAAACTAATTTTTTAAGTTCATAAACCGAATCTAGTAGTTTCTTTTTTCAACTTCTCTTTTAGATTCTGAGGGTGCATGTACATGTTTGTTATTAAGATACATTGTGTGATGCTGATGTTTGGAGTACAATTGAACGTTTCATCCAGGAAGTAAGCTTAACTTACCTAACAGGTGCTTTTTAACCTGTTCCTCCCTTCCTCTGACTCTCCTCTTGTATTTCCCAGTGTCTGTTCCAATCTTTATGTCTATGTGTACCCAATGTTTAGCTCCCATTTATAAATGAGAACACGGTATTTGGTTTTCTGCATTTGTTCATTTAGGATACTGGCCGCCTGTTACATCTATGTGCTGTAAAGGACCATGATTTCATTCTTTTTGTGGCTATATAGTATTCCATGGCATATAAATACCACATTTTCTTTATCCAATCCACTGTTGATGGGCTCCTGGGTTGGTTCCATGTCTTTGCTGTTGCAAACCATGCTGCGATGAACATATGGGTACATGTGTGTTTTTGACAGAATGATTTATTTTTCTTTGGGTATATGCCCAGCAATAGGATTGCTAGGTTGAATCGTAAACTCTTAATTCTTTGAAAAATCTCCAGATTTCTTTCCACAGTGGCATCATTGTGGTTTTGACTTGCATTGCTCTGATGATTAACAATCATGAGCATTTTTTCATATGTTTGTTGGCTACACGTATATCTTTTTTTCAGAAGTGTCTGCTCATGTCTTTTGCCCATTTTTAATGGGGTTGTTTTTGCTTAATTTATTTGTTTTGTTTAAGTGCCATATAGACTCTGGATATAGAGCTTTGTCAGATGCATAGTTTGCAAATATTTTCTCCCACTTTGTAGATTATCTGTTTATTCCATTGATAGTTTCTCTGCTGTGCAGGATCTCTAATTTAATTAGGTACCATTGTCAATTTTTGTTTTTTGTTGCAGTTGCTTTTGGGAATTAGTCATAAATTCTTTTTCCCAAGGCCAGTGTCAAGAAGGTTATTTGCTAGGTTTACTTCTAGGATTTTCATAGGTTGAGGTCTTATATGTACATCATCTTTAATTCATCTTAATTTCTGTATGGCCCAGGGGGTCCAGTTTCATTCTTCTGCACATGGATAGGCAGTTATCCCAGCATCACTTGCCAAATAGGGAGTCCTTCCCTCATGGCTTATTTTTATCAATTTTTTTGAAGATTAGATGGCTGTAGGTGTGTGTCTTTATTTCTGGACTCTATTCTGTACGTGTGTGTGTGTGTGTGTTTGTGTGTGTGTGTGTGTGTGTGTGTGTGTTATACCAGTACCATGCTGTTTTGGTTACTGAAGTCTATAATATAGTTTGATTTGGGATCATGTGATGTTGCTAGCTTTGTTGTTTTTGCTTAGGATTGTTTTGGCTATTTGGGCCCTATTTTGATTCCATATGAATTTTAGAATGCTTTTTGCTAATTCTGTGAAAAATGACATTGTAGTTTATAG